AAGATAATTTCAGCTGAAATTGGAAAGAAAAAAAAAAGAATAATTTGGCGACACCGTTTCAATCGATGGCAACTGCCGAATCACGCCCGCGAGCTTAAACTGCATCGATGCCACATCAATGCAAAAAAAACTTTGCGGTGCTTTGTAATACCGCAGCATATACCCTGCACGACAGTACAACGGCCACGCCTTTACTTTCGGATGCCTGGTTGCAAGGCAAACACCAAACCGTCGATCTTCTCTCTCTTTTTATTTTTTTTTTTTTTACTTACGCGCGCGCGATTATATCCAAAAAGCAAAAAGAGTCTCGCGGAGCATTACCAATTTCTCCCTTTATGTGGGACATTATATGTAGATGCATTTTAGATTAGATATGTGTTATCTTATCGGGACGTATATACGTCTCAAACGCCAAAGGCATTGCTTCTTCCTCCGACAACCAAATCTTGTAAGAACTACTTCGTAAGCAGTGAGAGAGTGCAGGCGAGCTGGTAATTAATCGACATCTTGTCAACCCTGAGACTGGGGAACGATAAAAAAACGTTCCCCATCTCAGGGTTTACAAGATGTTGATTAACCACTTCGCCCGCCGTATGAACAATGCGCAAAACTTTTTTTTTTTTTTTTTTTTTTTTTTTTTTTTTAGGTGAAAACGAGTATAGTGTGGAGAGAGTGCCTTCTCCCAACACGTTCTCCCCGCAAACGACAGTCAGTCGAGGGGAAGCGGCAGCCCGAGGGGGTGGCAAGCGCAAGAAGGCGAGATGGCTGTCTACGTTCTTGACGTATGTGAAAGTGCAGACAGCTCACGCGAAAGTCGTACGCAATCCGTGAAAGCGGGTTTACAAAAGAGCATTTTTGTATCATTTTTGGTGGAAAACGTGGCACAACGACCGCGTGAGGCTATTTTTGATCATTTTTACGCAATAACAAGCAAAAAAAGAAAAAGTGGAATTCGTTTATTTTACGGCGAAAATCGGAGAGAGAGAGAGACCGATGCGTGTGTGTGTGTGTGGGGGGGGGGGGGGGGGGGGGGGGGTTATACTGCGCACTTTTACGCTTCTACACAGCTTTCAAAGTGGCACTCGAGGCAGACGCCGCATCCGCAAAGCGTGTCTCGTTTTCCCGAACAGTCGAACATCGAGCTTCCAACCCGGACCAAACCGTTTTCAGAAAAGAGCTCTTCTGGTTCATTCAGGCGCAGTTGCCTCCCCAACACTACATCTCCGGACAGCTTCGTGCACGATCATGTTGCCTTAAGAGCGGAATCGGACCTCTATTCCTAACTGCACCGAATACTTGCAGCATCTTTCAATCAAAAGTCCCTTTATTTATGTTTTACGATAAACCGCAACGGACGCTATGTGCTACCGGAACCGATTCCTAGTTCCCAGAGTGTCACGTGACCTTCGGGTTGGGCGCGGAGCGTGAAGTCACGTGGCACGCGTAAAGCGCTGGGTTGACGAACATGGCTCGCACCGTCCCTGCGATCCATCAGTTCCTCCGGACCGAGTCACGAATACTTTGGCAAGCGGCCCAACGCATGTGCTTCCCAATGCACGAAATATGGAGATAGGGCGGGTATTATTGGAACCAAGAGCGTATATGCTGAACATCGTAAACCGGTATCGATCACTAAGCATTAAATATATATATATATATATAAAAGCGCAGTCTGCGTTGCTCAGTGGCGGTGGGCGGTTGCTCTGGGGTTCCGGGTTCGGCTTATCTCGCTGGCCAGACGCTCGAGGTCGCGACTCGGGCCCCGCGCCGCTCGCCCACCGACACTTCGCCGCGACGCCGCGACGGCGGAGACGGAGAGAACGCGGTCGCTGCCGAGACACGCTTGGGCAAGCGTGCATTTAACGAAAAAAAAAAAAAAAAGCGGGCGAATGGCAATGTAAAATGCTGGCAGTTCAATCATGCCAAAAAAAATCTACCACAAAAATGCGATAAAAATGAACTAACTTGTGGTTTTCTCCATCATGGCACCGGTAACGAAGACAATTTCAATATTTTTCTCCAGGTAACGTGAATTAGAGTTGGAAATTGTCTTCGTTCGAGAAGCTTTTAAGTAACGTGATTGAGAAACATAATTAACGAAGGTTTAAAAGCTTTTGTTTTTTTTTTTCCCACAGAGGACTTTTTTTTTGTCAAAAAGGTGATATTTAAACACCAAAGTACGGAGAAAAAAATTGTTACTTTTATCATTCGCCCAGTTTTCCTATACAACAATAGCTCGACTGTGAGGACGCAGCTGAAAGATCGTTGCGGAACCACGGGTGCTATGCTTGGTGGGCATGCCTCATTTTAAGGTTATAATTATAATGCACTTAAATGCAAAGGTGCAGGAGAGCTGGACAAGAATGACGAAAATAATCCACGGAGAAGGGGAACATGAGGGACAAAGGACAAATCTCCAAACACAGCTAGGTGACTGGTGCGCGACCGAAGAACTCCGCCTGGTCCGGGTATCGAACCCGGGACCTCGCCATTACAGGTGGAGCGCTCTACCAACTAAGCTAACCAAAAGTTTTTTTTTTTTTTTTTTTTTTTTTTTTTGAGTTAACCAGGGGTTAGCTCGGTCTGCTGACGTCTAACCGGGGGTTAGACGTCAGTAGAGAAAACGGGTTTTATCAGCCGCCACCATTTTGGAGATTTATGTTTGTCCTTCGTCCCTCTTGTTCCCCTTCTCCGGGGATTATTTTCGTCATTCTTGTCCAGCTCGCTTGCACCTTTTCATTTAATTGCATTATAATCATAACCTTAAAATTTGCAAGCTTCACCCTTGTTGGTGTTAGACTGGTGGCAGCTGATAAAACCCGTTTGCTCGACTGACGTCTAACCCCTGGTTAGCTCAGTTGGTAGAGCGCTCCACTTGTAATGGAGAGGTCCCGGGTTCGATACCCGGACCAGGCGGATTTTTTCGGTCGCTCACCAGTCACCTAGCTGTGTTTGGAGATTTGTGTTTGTCCTTTGTCCCTCTTGTACTGGTAGCCTCTAGGCAGCCTTTCGTTCAGTAAATGCTACACCGGGGCCCAAAAGGTAGCAACTGACATCGAAGGTGACGCCGATAGTTCACCACTACAGCCTCGTCATCTGGGAGATGCTGGATAAACTCGAGTGCTCTTTTTTTTTTTTTTTTTCGTATACTGATGTAGTACGACGTGCAGAGTTTTCAAATGAAATAACTTTGCAGACGAGTAGGTGTACGCGTGATAGTTCGCTTCAGCTATAGCACGGCTCATTGGCCGTTCGTTTTACGGCAAACTACAGTTCAAGCGGTCATATTATCCCAGGTCAGGGGAAGGGAAGGGAAGGGAAGGGAAGGGAAGGGGGCAGTAACACCGAGATATTCGTTTCGCAGACGTTTTGCAGTTTTATCTTCTCAAATTCGTAACCATTACACAGGTATGAAGGCGGCCATTGCTTTGATAAATGTCACAAACATGAGAATTTTTTTTTTTCGTCTTTCAATGCTATGTACTTTTTTTTTCTTACGTAATAATTCCACCCGACTTCTCCGAATCAAGACTCGTGGACTGCGGACAGGCGGCAGTAGAACCGACCTCGTTAGCCGAGCCACAACCAGGCAGGTTGGAAGATACAAGATACTTGGTTAACGCGGCTAGTTATTTATTTACAAAAAAAAAACTCGCAGAGCCGAAACTTCAGTATTATAGCAGGTACAGCCCATGGATTAATGCGCTCAGTAAATAACTAAAAAATAGAACACTTCAATATACATACAGCCTCGGCTGTCAAGGAAGAGAATACATAAGCGATAAAAATAAATAACATTAAAAATCAAGACCATTTCCTGAGGTAAATGGTCCCAGGTCATCATTAATACAAAAAGAATCCGGTAACAGGGTCCACTGAGCGATTGTGTGTGGAAACTTGGTTAACGCGGCTATGCACCAACTTCGCTTCTGACGTCACGCAAAACCGGTGGTGCCAGCTGCCAAACGGATCATGCTCACAAGCTTGTCTGCGCATGCGGGGTGAGCAAACGCACTTGTTTATAAACAATGCGTCGGTCTTTGTTGAGCATCCGGATATCGATCGAGAACGCACTGAAATTAGCCTTTTAAATAGGATAGGCCACCGATCGCACGCACCCCATACCAGGCAGAGAGGCTGGGTTTTTGTGGAAGATAAGACTAGTTAGTGTAGCTACTGCCAGAATGAGAACGGCCAGGCGTTTCCTTCCAATTTCTCCCAGCAGACGCTCGTTGCCTTTTGCCGCGCTTTACCTGCGCGTTCCAAGCTCCCGAGACACGTTACCGAAGATAAAAACCTCGCGCTGGGAACTGGAGAACAGAAGGACCTTCCTGCCGTTCTCATTCCGTCAGAGACTAGAGCATTATGAACTCAAAAAGTTTAGTAACATCAGCTCATGCGCACTCTTTGGAAGAAAGGGGACGCGTGCCGCCAACGTGCCGCACGCGACTCCTTCCGAAAAAAAGATCGATACTTTGTTAAAACTTCCCAGCATTTTTCTTTTTTTTTTTTCTTTTTCGTTTCCAAAGACTCGACTGTATAGTGTACAGCATGAGCCGCTTTTGAAACCACCCAAAGTAACGCTGACAGGTCAGGGCGTTCGCTCGATTCAATAGGCGCTCCACGCTGCGGTTAGGACCGCAGGCTGCCCTTGGCACTGAATGCATCCCACGCTTCATGATCCGCAAGGCGGGAAAGCCCGCCTCGATGCGCACCGGTCACTTCGAGAGGCCAAAGACAGACTCGACGGGGGAGGAAGACAGCAATCGCGGCGGACGGCGTCGAGCCGACAGGACGCCCCCCGTTCGATTTTCGCGGGCAGCCCGGGGAGCGGATGGCCACGCGGAGCCGCCGGCGGCAGGCCCTCCGGCCGGCGTGCCCCACCACGGTCCCCGGATCAGACGGGACCCGCACGAGCCCCGATGGCCCCCTCCCGGCACGAGGACCCAGCGTCGTCACCCCGGCAAGAGATGACGCGCCGGAGCGGCCCACCGACTCACCGCTGGTGGAGGACGCAGTGCGGATGGTATCAGGAATGCGGTCGGTGACGCTCAGAGGCAGCAGCGGCGTCGACAGCGGCTGCCCGGTCGCTGTCTCGTCCGGCCGCTGCCTGCCGTGCTGGGTCCGGTCATCGTCCCGGAGAGGGCACTTGGGGACACCTGGACACGCGAGGAAGGCGACTTAGGAGGGGCCGACCGCGCTGGCGTCGGAGCCGCGACCGATGGAGCGCGCCGACCGGCCCACCGCAGCAGGCCGTTCGTGCCGTTCGCCATCGCCAGGGCTCGCTCTCGCGGAGGCTGCGCACGCGCAACGACACAGCGCGGGAAGCGCCGCCGCTACCGCTATCGGCAGTGCCCCCCTCTCCCGGTCTTTCCTACACGGCCCTCTTCGCTCCCGCGGTTCGGGAGCGTGCTTAGCGCTCGGGCAGCCTGGAAGAGCGCTTCCTCGCACGAGACCGGAGGAGGACGGAGGAGCGTTTGTCGGTCCATTCGCGGCGACGAGTCGGCTCAGACCATTGAGAGCGGTCGGGAATCAACCGAACCCGGCGCACTGTGGTCGACTTTCGGGGAAACTTTCCTTCTATCGGCCGGCTTCGTTAAACAGCTCTAGAGAACGCCCTTAAAGCTGCGCTAGAACTGGACTCGGCTTCGTCCAACTGGGACGCCGACGGTCGTGACAGCAACGATGCGATTGGTGAGCTTTCATAACACTGCATTCCCTGTAATTAAACTAAAATTTAAAAAAAAATGAGTAGACACTTATTTGAAAACAAAGTGAAGCTCCTTCTACTTTCGTCCCGTAGAACACACAACAAGCGATCGATGAAAGGTTACGAAAGACGGCTCGAAGAGAAACACAAGCTCGTGCTATCGAACGACGACAAAATCAATTCGCCTTTAACCTTTATTCTGTTTCCGCAAATTCGTTGTCTTCAATTTTGACCCTCTCATTCCTCCTCCTCCTCCTCCATCGCGTCCTTCTCTTCGGAATATTATGATGTGCGATGTCCTTGCATGGTCTTTTTTCTTCCTTTTTTTTTTTCCGTCAAAGTTTATTTTGAATGAGAAAGACCCCGGGTAAGCAAGACCAAAGTTACTACCGAGATTTGAGCAACCGTCGCGATTTATGCAGGAGTTGCGACCAATGATGAAAGCAACTCGTCAGGATATCCCATACCATAGCCTCCTCTATACTCACAAAGCCTGGAAATTCGACGACGGAGCCATAGAGTGCACGGTCGCACATTTGGAGCGCGACGATCTGGTAGCACAGAGCATTTCTCGGGGAGTCTGGTATTCAGCGCACAGCTTTTGCAGCGGCGAGGACTCGAAACATGGTTTTCAAAACCGACGAGAAAAGAAGTGGTAGCCCGAGGAACGCGAGAAGTACGAGCGGACATTACATTGCTCGGGACCATGGCCTCAGAGATCCCGAAGCGCGCGCGCGAACTTCGGGATCTCGGAGGCCATGTCGGGACAAGTGTGTTTCGGTGTCTCGCCGCAGCGGGGTGCCCGTCACGTGGCTCTCCTCTCAACCGTTGTCTGCCGCTCCACCTTTTCAATTTCGGCGGCCGCTTCTCGTAGCGATCTGCCAGGCTTTGTCAGTATAGAGGAGGCTATGCCCATACATATTAGAGTCGCAGACAAAATGAGAGCACCTGGGATATATTTCAGTTGGGCGTCTCGTAAGCCTCGAGCGTCCACGAGCAGCCAAGGCACGACGGAAGGCAATAAGCGCGTGCCAGGGGCGTTCGAAAGAGACGCCCTGCTGTTTTCATACTGCCAATGGCTATGAACACTGTTTTTGTTTTGAAAATTTTACTGTAAGGTAGGGAATGCCCATACCAACGTTGACCTAGTTCCACTTGTGTTGTCAAAACTACTTGACGCGTACGCGAAAACAATCCTGCTCTGGAGGAGCACTTTTCCCCCACAGCGGACGACTGCCTTGCGGCGAAGCGAGACACGCAAGATTTCAGTGCCCACTGCTGCAGTCCGCTCCACTGATGTGGCTTCCCCGCAGTGTACCGGTGCGCGATGGGAAGCGAACTCAACGGGACTACCTAAACCGTCTGAACGGACCACGAGCAATGAAAAGTATTAGGGACTTTTAGCAAACCGCTACCGTGTTCCGCGTAGCGCACTACCGGAGCCTTTGAAGCATGCTTTTAAACGCCCGCCCGGGTGATACCGTGACCCCGGGACGCGTGCTTAAAAGCATGTTTCAGAGGCTACGGCAACGCGGTACGCGGAACATGATAACGGTTTGCTAAAAGTCCCTATTGTGAAAATTTCGATTACTGTTAATGTTTGATACGAAGATGAAATCGAATACAGCTATTGGCGACGTGCGCGACCGAAAGCGTCAATGTGGTCGGCCTTCCACGATTGGCCCAAAAGCTGACTATGACGTCGGAAAGGGTATACCATCGACGGAAATAAGAGGAATGAAAGAACTTTAATTTCGACGGTGTTGGCAGTGTTCCTTTCAGAGCGCAATGATTTCAGGCTTCCACCATGCTATTTACAAACACCATCGAACTTGTTGTTCGCAAGGTAATGACGTCACAAGGGGGAACCGTAGGAGGGCGCCACCAAAACATCTCGCCGCTAATTGCTAAATTACCCAAGCACCAAGTAGAATGCTGAGAATGTAAGCACACGCGCCGCACGCCCTCGACTTCCCCGTTTATGATTCGAAGTAAATAACCAAAACAAGGCATTGATGAACGCGCGTGCAAGATACCGCTTGTTTTAGGTTTTTGCTTTAGCACAGTTACTGCCGCCATAGCCTCCTCTATACTCACAAAGCCTTGCAGTTCGACGACGGAGCTATACAGTGCCCGGTCGCACATTTGGAGCGCGACGATCTGGTAGCACAGAGCATTTCTCGGGGAGTCTGGTATTCAGCGCACAGCTTTTGCAGCGGCGAGGACCCGAAACATGGTGTTCAAACCCGACGAGAAAAGAAGCGGTAGCCCGAGGAACGCGAGAAGTACGAGCGGACATTCCATCGCTCGGGAAAAGTGTGCTTCGGTGTCTCGCCGCAGCGGGGCGCCCATTACATGCATCTTGCCCTGCCGCTCTACCTTTTCACTTTCGGCGGCCGCGTCTCGTGGCGATCTGCCAGGCTTTGCCGTATAGAGGAGGCTACGCTACTGCAGACACAAGCACGTGCAGCGCGAGTAACTACACCCGCTGAACGCTCTTGGGGCTTGGGCAAAAGGTTTATAGAACGGTGCCTCAATGTCGGAAATGACGTCACGTGCAAGCCACGTATACGTGGCAACGTTATTAGATTACCTCAGTTGTGGAACTCAAGCGGAAGGGGGTACCCCCGGTCACTCATTTCAATCCGCCAAGTGTCGTTCGAAGCGCCATCTAGATTTTCGTTTCATAACTGTGCGTTCCAAAGAGCAGAGATGAAGCGCCATTTAGACGCCGTGCTTCGAAACGTACGTAGCGATCCCAGCGATCCCGACCCCATTTCGCCGTGCCCGATTCCCATAGAACACGCTGCAGTTACCAAAGCAGCTGTCCGGCGGCGCGTCGAGCGACGCTTGGCGAGTCGTGGTGAGTGAGGGGGGGGGGGGGGGGGGGGGGTACTGTTCGTGCATGCAGCGTCTATGAGCAGTTCCGTAACTGAGCTGATACGTGGCTTGCACATGACGTCACTTCCTATGTCCTCCAGAGAAAAGGGGAAGAAGGAGCTCCCCTCTTATCAGGGCCCTCTTTTGTGCCTCCCGGATTTGCACAGGCGTCGCTACTCTCCTTCCAGAAGATTATAGAAGATTAACCCGTCACTCAAAATTCTTACAAAAGCAGTTTCTCTCTCTTCCTCTTACATGGTGTTCAAAAGTATGCGATGTGACGTCAGTGCAAGGAGCCTATATGTAGAGAGTTTGGCCATTCGTCGGGAAGTATAGGAGACAAATGAGGAGGCGCCATTGGCCGAAAGCGGGCTGGGCGTGTTCCAGGGCATCTTCACAAACCAGAAGCCCGAAATAATACCCTAGCGGTGGTCGCGAGAAACAAACTTGATAAGTGCGTCAGAGTAACTCTCGGTGACTGAAAATATGGTGCACGTGATGTTTCAACCACGGTCATCCAAAATCATGGTGGAAGAGGGGCGACTAGCGAATGTGGAAGAGGGCGACTAGCGAAACGATCGACATAATCCTTAAGCCAGGTGCCAAGGGCCGGGAATCTGCCGTCCGAGCGGTCACACACTGTCCGAGCAAAACAGAGTTACCGCTCATTTAGACTGGAAGCGGATCCGCGTTCGCAAAGCGGTTGCGAGCGCAGTTGTATAAAGATCCAGTACAATTGCACGCGCACTTGATGTCATCGAGTGCGCGTACAATTGTACTGGATCCTAGGGTACATCACGTGTACCCTATTTTCAACCATAAAGGGTTACTACATTTAACTCTTACGCGCTTATTAAAACAATTAAAACTGTTTCTCGCTACCCTAGGGGATTCTTTTCGGCTTCTGGTTGGCCAAGGGAGCATGCCAAGTTCTCTTTCTGGGTCTGGTGCACGCCCGGCCTGGCTCCGCGGGTGCCTCCCACTGACCAAAACTCTCTGTATACACGGCTCTGACATGAAGGCACCCTAGTCTATAGGAAGTATTCACTGGCGGCCATTCACGGCGAGCTTCCACAGTTCTTTTGCAACGTGCATTCCGCACCATCAAGATGGCCGGTCTTAGCAGGCTATTAATGTGAGCTCGTTCTGAGCATGCGCTCTAAACAGCGCCCTCAAATATGGCGTCCACACCTTTTCCGCAAGGGCGCAGCCATCTTGAATGTCGTCACTTCTGGTATGCGGTAAAACATCGTTTTGATCTCTTCGCGCCGCTGGAAGAAAAATGCGTGATTGTCACCCATTCTTGTTTTGCCTCGCCTATTTTCTTGCATATTCCAGGTTGAAATGTTCTATTATTTTTACGTCCCGCAGACCAGATACGGAACCCACGCGACTGAGAGCGACAAGAAACAGAAAACGTTATAGCATGTTACTAGAAGCAAAAATCTAGTTTTGACAACTTGCATAAGTACCGTAACTACGCGGCAGTTTAGCGAGGCTTCTCTACGCGGCTACAGCCATTATTTTGTACTGAGAAAGCGAAATCAAAACCTTGTGTGCTCTTGACTT